TTCATCTTTTCAAGATGGTCATGGTACCCTTGTCCCAGAAACCAAAGTTCCACAACAGCTGACCAAGACATATTTTTCCTATTAAGCTTTTCTGAAGTGATAGAAGGACATCCTGAGAAGAGTTGGGTTGGACTGGAAGCCATATGAAAATGACAATGTTAGGTCAGCGGCAATGAGCAGCGGACAGGGCCGGATAGAGATGGCAGGAACCTGCTTTGATACCAACTTGAATAAAAGAGAGTTCCAAGGGAGAGAATAATTTTCTGGTTGTGTGTCTATCCACAACCCTGAAGGACTGAACTCCTTTATTTATAATAATGAGAGTACAAGTACATTAATGAGTGAAAGAAGATGAAAGGTCAAATGAAATGAAAGGTCAGTTCTAGAATAATACAGTTGAGTCTATTTAGCTACCAATAAATCTAGATAAAATCTAACAAAGAGCAATGAAATGAAAATACATAAAGGCGGATTATCAATCCATAAATTATGATCAGACATAGAAACAACTGCTGTTCGGGCCAACTTGTGGGGCGTGGGCAACTAGGTTGGCAGACCACTTAACATAACTAAAAGAGATACAGGGGACTCAATCTTTCATAGCCATTATATCCCCCACTACGAGATCGAAACTAGAATCTCCTTCCTTGAAATGAATACTCGAGATAACTTGTAACGCATTAGATTCAAGCTCAATGTCGTACCACCCTTCTAAAAGAATTCAGCTAGGAGCCTCCCTTACACTTAAAGCTTCCGCTTCCTGTGATAAGCAACTATCCCGTCAAGCAATGGCCCCGCCTGCCAAAAAAATGTCCATACTGTCTCAGGCCACCCACCCTAAACCGCAGCCATCTCCCCCCGCCTTGCATCCCTCATCTGTATACCCCAGCAGCTGGCTTGGTTCACTGCACTACACGGCTCTCCTCCAAACACTGTTTCTTCTTTCCCAGTTGCTGTGCAAACCTCCAGCTCTCAAGGAAAGAGACAGTCTGCCAACAAATCTGCTCAGCCGTTGACTCCAACATCCCACACCTTCAGGTTTCTATCTCTCCAAATTGCCCAACGATCATCACCAACTCACACCATATGTCCTCATTTTTGGCCTAGAAATTGTGCTCAACCCACCTAAAAAACGAGTCACCATCTATCAAGCCCACTCCCCACCCTAATCTGCCCCACACTTCCCTTTGCTTGATTGCAACTGCTGAACAAATGAGCTGCTGATCATTACACCAGCTGCATGCCAGGGGAACTTCTACCTCCTACTCAGATTTTTAGCCGTTGGTAAAAGCCCTGCACACAGTTGCCAAAAACGTTTTTTTTTTTACCTTTGGAGGTATATGCAGGCCCCAAATCCTCGTCCAACCTTCCCAGCCTGCTGCAGCTACTTCGCCTACCAGAGCTCGATAACATCTTTTAACAGTAAAACCTGCCCTAGCCTCCCAGGCCCAAATTATCTTATTGGGAACTTGGCGATTGCTCAAAGGAATATTTTTCACCAAATCTTTATCTCTAACCTCTAAAATATCCGACACCACATCTAAGTCTCACTGATCCCCCCCACAGCCATTAGTCCGTCCATTGTCAACTCTTCAAGACCCTGCGAGTCTGCGACATAGTTGTACGAATCCTGAGATCAGCGTCTGGCAGCCCCTGGCATTTCGCGCCCACCATAAACGGGCAAACGGCTCGATCCTAAAAACCTCAGCCACACCCTCTCTATAACCTTCTGCCACATTTCCGCTGAAGCCAATCATAGATTTTGCAAAGTTTATAACCTCCCCAGTAGCTTGTTCATACTCGTGCAAAGCCTCCTTCACTGCCGAGCAATCCCCATGAGCCACCTAGAAAAACAGAAGAGCGTCATCTGTGAACTGTAATTTGGAAACCCGGGGGCGTTTCTTGCAACAGCAACTCCTTGAATCTCCCCCTCAACCCTGTCTTCGTAAAAGCAGGCTTTGGCCCTCAGCAACAACAATAAACAAATAAGGGGATAACGGATCTTCTTGTCTAAGTCCGCAATGAGGAATTATCAGCCCAATTTCAGTATCCTTGAAAGGAATAGAGTAGCTGACTGTCTGACACATTCCATCATCAAGGAAATCCATTTATCGACATTCCTTCCAAAAAAATCCATTCCACCTAGTCGTATGCCTGTCTCATGTCCAGCTTCCATGGCACGAAATCCTTTTTTCCTTGCCTCTTCCTCTTCAAGAAGTGATGAGTTTCAAACGCTACCATCATAGTATCAACAATCGAACGCTCAAGAGTAGATTTCATCTTGTTAGCCAAGACCTTAAAGAAGATCTTACAAGCCACATTATACATAGAAATCGGTCTCCAATTTGCCAGAATTTCTGGATTTTCTTTTTTCGAAATCTATATGGCAAGATTTCTCTCTGGCAGCCTCCTTGAGTCTAAACCTAACCTGCAGAAACTGACCACGTCCTGTTCAACCATTTCCCAGAAGTGCTAGAAGAAACCCGGGCTCATTCCATCCGGGCCTAGGGACTTATCCGGATGCATGTGGAACAAGCCGCAAAAGGTCCAAGTTCATCTGGTCCGTAACCTTTTGCTCCACTTCACACAGAACAGGTTCCATAACTCCTTGAAAAGAAGAAAACAGGTTAGAAAAATACTCCCCAATCACAGACCCCACCTCCTCTTTTATCTTTAACCCATCGGGCATCGGCCACCCCCTACACGAAGACCCTCCAAACAATTTCTCCTTCTTTGATGGACTGAATTGTGAAAAACTTCGAGTTACATAACTTACATCTCCATTTTTCAACCAAAATTCTTTTTCCGTTTTTCTCCAAAAGCAATTTTGCTTTTCAAGTAGTACAAGGTACTCACTCTTCACCCTTTCAAAATTTCCAAGATTACTGCCACACATCGGGCATCGGCCACCCCCTACTCGATTAGTCCCCCACCTCCCCACCTCTTTAGCACACAGCTCCAGTTGAGAATCCACCCCTAAATTCCTCCCCAGACCCCAACTTCTTTCCACAACCTCCCTGCACTCTTCCTCCCAAAGCCAGGTGTTTTCAAATTTAAATTTTCTGCGCGTATCCACCCTTTCAGAAATAAATGGAGATGGTCACTAGGAGCCCCCCCAGTGACATCGCAACTGCACCTCCGAACCCTCCACTCTTCTGACACTAAAATGCTGTCCAATTTTTCCTCAACCCACCTAGGAGAACCTCGCCATCTTTCCCAACTGAATTCCACTCAAACAGGAAGTTTTTTAACCGCAAGCCCAAACTACCTCTCGAAAGGCCTGAAGCAACCATTCTGGGCGGGGAACCGACCCTCTTTTCTCCCCTGCAAACATAAGGTCATTAAAGTCACCCATGACAAGTCAGGGTAAAGTAGATACCTCACTTAGTTGTTGCAGCAACCTCCAAGAATCCATCCGCTTACGTCATTCGGGATAACAACACAAACCTGTGAATTGCCACCAAGCCTCATCCACTTCCAACTTGACTTGGGCGTTAATGTAGTTGTGTGAAGAGCTTGTCACTAATAAATGTACCTCCCTTGTCCACAGAAGTGCCACCTCTATGATGCCAAATGCCCCTCACAATCAACTGAAAAAGCTTGATCAAAACCAAGCCGCCTCCGAATCTCCTGAATCCTACTTGATGATGAAAAGTTTCCATAAGAAAAATTATGGTCGGCCTCTTAGAGCGGACAATATCCACCAAAACCTGAACTGTCAAAAGGTTGCCAAGACCTCAATAGTTCCAACTCATGCAACTCATAGCCTACAGCCTACAGCCTCCTTCGTTTACCCATACCGCAATTTGAGCTTCCTCCCTCATCTCAAGTTCACCTCATGAGCTCCCCAGAGCCGCCACATTCGCCCCCCCTCAGATCCCCGCTCGAAAACCCCCAGCTCCCATCCCTTTCCCCCCCTCCCACACCAGAATACATTTCATTCTTCCTGTAAGAGTCTCTTTCCACTTCTTCTGTCCCCACTACTCTCTCGGTTTCCAGAGAACCCCCTGTGACTCCCCCCTAACTTCACTTCGTCTTTATCCAGAACCAGTAAGGTTTTTCACGTCCCTCCTGATATCCCTCAAAATGTGTTAGACAAAAGCGGTCCATATGGCCTATTCTGCCACAAACAAAACAGATCGGCAGTCTCTCATACTTGAAATCCGCCCATTCTCATTCCTTGCCTCTCTTGAGCTTCATTCGTCTCCTTCAAGGTTGCTCTACACCGAGAAGGACTCAAATCCTCATAAATGCCTGCCACGTACGACGTTCCAGTAACGTTTTCTTCACCCAGTGCATTGCCTACCATCTTAGTGACCTTCTCCGCCACCGAGATCATAGGTAAATTATGATGGACCTAGATCCAGAATTCAGTCTTTGTCAGTTGATCCTCCATTGGATTTTCCATAGGTTTGAGCCAGTGTAGAATTAACAAATGTCTGTCAAACAACCATGGACCCTCTGATATGATGCGATGAACATCAAACTCATGATAGAACTGAAATAAGAATCGCTGCTCGCCAATGTTCTTGATCATAAGTTCATAACCCCTCGAGACGGTCTCTATAAGTCTGCCACGGTATCTCAGAAGTGAATGAATTTAACTGGTTTGCCCGATAGGAGTCTACTCACTACCGACAGATGCAAATTTTATGGGATCTCTTTCGTCCCTTCCAGCCCCAGTCCAGACTCTTGTTTTCTTCTTCCTCGGTAGACATATGGGCGTACAAATCTTCAAAGGATGTGTGGTTTGAAGCCATAATACAGTATTCTAACAAAGATTGATCGTCCAAAGTGTGTGCAATATGATCACCATCAAAACCCTAGAACTGCTAGGGGAGAAAACTGAGAGAAAACATATCGATATGTTTTAAAATTTTATGAATTAAGTTTGATGGTTTGATTATAGCCACTAAGTTAGCCCTTCTTTTAATGTATCTGTTAAATTACAATTTTATAAACGGTGTGATTATTAACATCCAGTGTTTTCACAAATACAGGTTTACTAACCGGATTAGTCATAGATTCTGGTGACGGTGTTACTCATGTGGTAAATTATCATAATCACGCCTTTGACACAATATATTTGACTCTTCGCAAGAGCCTTTTATAAATGTAATAAATAATGTTTTTTTGTTAGCCTGCTTGTATGATGCTTTTTGGTGCAGGTTCCAGTTGTAGATGGTTACTCATTTCCTCACCTCACAAAAAGAATGAATGTAGCTGGACGTCATATAACTTCTTATCTAGTTGATTTGCTGTTCCGCAGAGGGTAAAACAAATTGATGCATTTCTTTTTCAAATGGTGCTTCTAAGTTGATATAATATCACAAGTTTTTTTTGAAGGTATGCAATGAGTAGAAGCGCTGATTTTGAGACTGTCAGGGATATAAAAGAAAAGCTTTGCTACATTAGGTGAATTGACTCTTGTCATATCAGATGGGCTCATCTTTTCTAATCCTCTTGGTTTCTGCTGAAAGGTTAACAATTATTTTACTGCAGTTATGATTATAAACGAGAATATCAATTGGGCCTTGAGACCACTATCCTTGTTAAGAATTATACAGTGAGTAAATTCCATTTTGAGCATTTTGATATGCTTTAGTGAGCCCTCTTAGTTTGTACATTTATCTTTATGCAAATAGTAGCGCAACATAAATTTTTCTTTAATAAAATTCTTTTGTATATTACCTGTGTGCTATCCCAAAATCTTTTGGGAGTACTTGGATGTTGTTGTTGTTGTATTATCTGTGTGCTGGATTTTTTTACTGGTTTGTAATGGAGGTGCTTTAAACAGCTTCCAGATGGGAGGGTAATCAAAGTAGGCACTGAGAGGTTTCAAGCACCTGAAGCTCTGTTTACCCCGGTAAGAATTTACACTTGTGTTTTGTTTTAATTGTTCCAAACCAAAGTTGTAGTCTTGTAGAACTTATACTGCATCCCGGTGACATCTGAAAAGGTGCAGGACTTTGTAGTTACTCCGTTTTTTCCGTGTTGTGACATAATAAAGCTCACTATATGTGGCATTAACTTATACTACATAGCATGCTTAATTGGGTTGGGGTCGCTCCACTACATTGGCCAAACCATACTAAATATTAAATTCAATCAATTAGCTAGTCTAACTCAAATCTTTTTAGACCAGTGTGTATCTCTTTAATACTTTGACCCAGTACTCTTTACATTATCTGTGTTGAACTTTTCATCCTTTTTAAGGTAAAGGAAGCCACTTTTTTTCTTTATTTACACATATACATTTACATACTACATGTTTTTTCTACATACATACACCACACACATATTTTCCACTGGTGGAAAATGGTCCTTTGTTCTGTGTCATGACTCAACAGTGTCCATCAGTGTCCGCTGGAAGGGTCCCATAAATGAAACTTCTAGCGTTCCTTGCATCACTTCATGCTGTAGAGGAACCAGCATTTGACTGCATACTGTTTTGTGGATACTAAGGGCCCATTTGGTAGGAAGTATTTGGCTGGACTATGGTGGCTAAACCGGCTTAATTTTATGAAAGGAAAAGTGTTTGGTATATCAATATCAGCTAAATAAATAAGTCAAAGGTAATACATGTTCGGCTTATTAGCCAAATAAGCAGAATAGGCGAGGAGAAAATGCAACCAAAAGGAGTAGAGATGGCAATTGTGACCGATCCGATGGATACCCGCACCGAACCACCCCGGTCAAAATGGGGAAAAACGCATTGACCGGGTAATGGCTACGGGGCGGGGAATACTCGTTTTGTTTTTACGAGTAACGGGGCAGTTACGGTTTTATGCATGCCCGCCCCATTACCCGCCCCGTACCTGCCCCGTTTATTTTTAGTTATATTTTTATTACTTTTTTATCTATTATTTGTCCCACAACTAATAAAAGATGAGATTTTTAATGTTCATTGTGTATATATGGATAATAGATGTACCAACTATAGTGTAAGAATGAAAGTTCTCAATAGAACTTAATAGCCTTGTTTGATTATTCTATGATTTTTTCGTGATTAATTATTTTTCAGATTAAGTATTTTTAGGTTCAAATTAATTTAGGTTGTCTTCTTTCTCGTCGTATAGATATATGAAGCTTTAAAGTGGCGTTTGAGTCTAGCGTCGTCTAGGTGATGCCATTTTTCGCCTTTTAAAATATTATTTTTTAATTAAAATATCAATGATTCATTTAATAAAGTGATTACCCGCGGTTACCCGCGGTTATAACCGTTACCCGTTGGGGCGGTTATGGTTTGGGTAAAAATTACCCGTTGGGTAATGGGGCGGTTATGGGGCGGGGGAATTACCAAACAGGCCGGGTACGGTTATATGTAAAACCGTCCCCGATCCGCCCCGTTGCCAACCCTAAAAAGGAGCCTAAAAATTTCATTTTTCTTGCAGGATCTCATTGATGTTGAAGGTGATGGAATGGCTGACATGGTATTTCGTTGCATCCAGGAAATGGATATTGATAATAGAATGATGGTATATAACTCGAAATTCTAGAATTTGTAAATAATTTTTTGGAAAAATTGATAGTAATAATCCCAACTATTGATGGTCCGCCCATAATAATCCCAACTATCAATTATTTCAGAATAATCCCAACTTTAGGGACCTTATGCCAATAATGGTCCCTATAAATAAATTCTCGTAGTTTCTAAAGTGGATGAGAAGAGATATAACAAGTAATCCCTATAAATACTCTCAACTTTTAATTTTACGCTTAATTTCTATTTAAAGTTTACTTTTTATAGGAGGTAATATCTGGTCATGGACCATTATTGGCGGATGGTCCATATAGTTGGGGTTTTACAAAAATAATCAATAGTTGAGATTATTATCAGCGGACCAACAATAGTTGGGATTATTATTTTCAATTTTTCCTAATTTTTTGCTCATAGAAAATGGAATTGCCATTTTATGGAGACAGTTTCCCCTATTTAATAATGCAATTCCTTTCTCCATGCAGCTTTACCAACATATAGTGCTAAGTGGAGGGAGTACCATGTATCCTGGCTTACCTAGTCGGTAATGCATCTAGATGTTTTTGGACTGGTTTTCCAAGGTTCCGTTTGGAATTTAAATAACATTAGCGAAAGAAAATACGGAGAGAGCAAATTTGGAAGGAGAGAAAATCGGTACAAAAATAAAAAATGCTTCAAATTCCACAAATCAATTATAGATATTTGTGCAAGCTCAATCTATTTTAATAGTTTTATTATTTAAAGTCATAGAGATCTAAAAAAAGAATTTTTACAAGGTTCTATTTGATTTAGATTTTCCTTTTTATGTTATCCCTTGCCCCCCTTCGTCCCAACCATTTTCCGAGTTCCTAACATAGCCTAAGAGCTACTTTAGATAAAGGGATTTAGAGAAATTAGTCGGGGCTTCTGAAAATGAACGAAGGGTGAGAAATGTTAGATGATCACATGTTTTGTCTTCAGATTTATTAGATCTGGAATATGTATGTGTGTCAGCGTGTGAATTTGTATGTATGTATTTATCCATATATAGAGTTAGCCCTCGAAAAACCTTCATCCAAATTGACTACTGGCGGTAAGTGTTTGAGGCTTTTAGCTTCATTCAACCTGATTACTATTAGATATTTTCTTTTATCTATTAACAAGTATCCCCCCTGCTCGAAGCTTAGCTTAGAGAAGGAGATTTTAGATCGCTATCTTGAAGTGGTTTTGAAAGGAAACAAGGATGGATTAAAGGTATTGGTCTATTAGTGATCTATAGACAAAAGTGATTTTTTCGGTGGTACTTCTATTGAATCAGACAAACAAATGTTTATGCAGAAACTGCGATTAAGGGTAGAAGATCCACCAAGAAGAAAACACATGGTGTATCTTGGAGGTGCAGTTCTAGCAGGAATTATGAAGGTAATCGCATTTTCTTCACTAGCCGTGAAATCACAGTGGTTTTCCTGGTACAACAAAACTAATTGTATATTTAATTATTTATATAGTACCACTCCAACCCATGTTAAGCTTATTGCTTTCTGCGTTCAGCTAAAATATCGTGTTTTTTAATTAGGAAAGACTGTGTATTAACTCATCTGGGCGTGGGCCTCATCCCTCCCTTCCCCAAAGCAATACCTGACTGTAGGCTATATGAAAGTTTATTAAACGGAGCAAGGGTGGGCTGGGAAATACTTCACTTATATAAAGTTGTATAGCAAAAGGTTTACATGTAAAAAAAGGAGCGAACTTGGGTGCAAACATTGGGGACCAGATTCCCCACCCCCTTAATCCTTCTTGACTAGGTAGGTTAGTTATTTTGAAGGACAACAGAAAAAGGATGATTTGGCATTTGTGCAGGATGCACCTGAGTTTTGGATCAATAGACAAGACTATTTGGAGGAAGGAGTTGGCTGCTTAAGCAAGTGCGGGCAGGCATGATGATGGTTTTTATTTATATATCTTGGGTTCCACACAAATCACTTTGTTTCAAGCAATGTTAAAATCTGGATGCTAAAAGTGGTTAAGGATTTAATTTGTGGTTAAGTGACAGTGTGGCAGGTGGCTTGCTTAGGGAGAGACACTTTTTATTACATATACTATTATTATTACAACTCAGTGACATTACCATATTTATTTTGGTACCTCCTCCCAGCGAGAACTAACAAACATACTTCACATTACTTTAATGTTATTGCTAGTTCAATTGATTGGTGTATTCCTTGTGTTGGTTCCTTTGTTTCTTCATCACTTTTTATGCTCACAGAATATACCAAATAAAATAAATTGATTCGATTGTGGTTATGGTTAAAAGGCTCAAGGTTGAGGGGTGCCACATACACACTTTTTGTACCAAAGTGTCATATCCTTGGACAGGATTCAAACTGGTCAGTTCCTGTTATGGTTTCAGAGTCTAGACAGGATTAATTTAGTGACTGAGGACGTGCGTTGGAGACGGGATGCGGGAATCAAAGCTGAAAGGATGTGAAACATGTGTGCCACTATGCCCCCACCTTTCCCTACTCCAACTGGAGCTATATGCTCCTTCCCTCCGGGACTATAGCAGTCATTGTGTGTGAGGGTAACAATGCCCGTGATAATCTTATTCATCCTTCATGTTAGTTAAACCAAATGTTTTGGTCATTCTGAATTAGATAAGTTTCTGCATGCTTGGGGTGCAACCATGCAAATTCTGAATTTAAATTCTTAAATTCTCTAGTCTATTAATGTGAGAGTACATTTAGAGAGAATTGAAACCATGTTGACACACTAAGTATGGCATTATGACATTGAAGGTAGGACACACATATGCGACTCCTAATATAATGGAAGACCCACAGAGAGTAGCATTCCTAATATAATGGCGGGTCTGAATGTCAAAGCAATGAGGCTGTGGATACAAGTATTGGCAATGGTAGACTGGTAGTTATAGGCAGTTGATGGTGATGATGATGGGCCTTTCTGCACTATTAGGCTAGCCTGGCCAAAGTTTCCTTTCGATTTATCTCTTGTACACTCAATTCCATGATTCCCATCTACTGTGGATCTAGCTCTTTTATTTTAGGTGTTCAAAACTGAAATAAAATTTGAACTATCACAACAATCTTGTGTAATGCAATAATGTTACAATTGAATCATCATTTTCGCAAAAAAACTAAACACAGAACCACACAGCCTGTGTGGTTGACACAGCCACACCAAAAAAGAAAATAAATATACTATGAGGTCCGCCACCAACAAATTAAGGAGAATCCACATCAACCAGTTAAACCAAAAAACTCACCGTCAAACCAATAAGGGTTAAGGCACTAACAACCTAACCAATATTTCCAGGTCCCAAATCCCAATGTTTTCTCAATCTGAAATTTCAATTAACCATTTAGCAAAAGGCTAGCAGTAGAAGAAAAACGATGGTGCGAATTTTAGATTAGGTAAAGAAAATTAGGTTTTAATTAGTGCCTTAGTAGACAAGGAGGTCACGAGGCTACTATTGGAGGCGGTGGACTGGTAGAGCAGAGGAAGGGATCCGGATTCTAGAGGCGGGTGTGAGGAGCAAGCCAGCGAGGTCGTTAGCTACTATACTCATCAAGACTCAAGAGCCAGAAGCTGAAACGCCGAGTCAACTGTTCCCTGCCTACCGAGCTTATAGTGACTAGCGACACTGTGACAAACTGGTGAGGAGGAGTGAGTTGCGACTCTGCGAGTTGTTAGTCGGCTGTGGGTGTTCAGTAGCTTCTGCAACGCAGGTGAGGTTTGCGTAGAAACGACGGAAGGCGGTTTTTGATATAAAAATTTGAAATTTTTGGGTGTTCAGGTGAACACCTTTGAACAACATCAGGTCCGCCCCTGACTGTAGGTATCTCCAGCATGTATTTCCCTAACCTCTTTGTCGCGTTGTTCACCGAGAATTCTATTTGCTCTGTTGTTTTTGGTGAACTCACTTTATAGGTGCAGTCTATTCTCACTTCCACACCTATTATTTATGATTAAATAATATCACTGTCATCATCATTATCAGCCGTAACAATTTTTATTTTTCTTATTCTTCATCATTACCCTAGTGCCGCAAAGGCTCCCATACGGTGGGGTCGGGGGTCGGATGTACATAGCCTTACTCCCGTACTAAAGTACGGAGAGATTTTTTCTGAATGACCCGTAGTGAAAATCGTGTCGAAAATTACATAGACTGACTGTTACTTCATAACAACGGTTCAGTGAGTCGTTTTTCTGTATTTCATCATATTCCCAAGTCAAAAATTAGTGAGTCTTTGACTTCATTGCAAATGATGGAAAATAATAGTAATGGTGATTGCAAGTTGCAACCCCAATTCCTATGGTTTATCCAACTTCCTCTATTGAATGAGGTTTGTGCTAATCAGTAACACGACAACTTATGTTCAATTATAATGAGTAGTTCGGTTTTCCCGTTTAGATATATTTACACATTTTTGCAAACTTGTTTTATTTACCATTCTTTGTTACTATTTCTATTATGTAAAAAGACTAGGAAATTGAAATATATGTCAAGATTTGAAAACGATTATTACATATCTTGCGTACTCTGTATTTCTTTACCGTTTTCATGCTACCTTCTTTCTATCCTTAACATTCTCATTCCATAGATGAAGATTTCTATATCATCTTACTCGTATATTTTTTATCTGAAGCTCATTGCTACATACCATGTAGACACTGTCTCGGTCTATTCAGAACATGTAAAAGGCCACGGAGAAGAAGAACATGGAGGAAAACCTCAAGTAAAGGAAATTTGATGAATATTTTCTGGGAGGCGAGTGATACCTGGCATGAAGTAACTATGCGAGGAGAAGGAATTATTAGAGCAGATATCACAGTAAACCATCCCCATGACAATGATATGAGGATCACTGCCGTGGGAAGGGACGGACCCAGGGCACTGGGCCAGACTGGACCAGTACAAAGAATATTTTCAAAATTTTTTTTACCTTAATAATTAGGTCATTTTTTAAATTTGGAGTGGGTCATGGCCTAGGTACCCCTAGCTCCGCCCATGGCTGTGGGTGCCATGGAGAGGCATAGGAGATGATGAAGTGAAGAAGTAGAAGGAGCAGGCGAAGAAGTAAACATCAGCATCCATTGTAGAAATTCAAATCAAAAGAGACTGGGCCTGACATGAAGTAGTTGGGTGGGGAGAAGGAATTATTAAAGCAGATATCACAGTAATTCATCCCCAAGACAATGATATGAGAGGCATAGGAGATGATGAAGTGAAGAAGCAGAATAAGGAGCATACGAAGAAGAAAGCAACAGCAGCCATTGCAGAAATTCAAATCAAAAGAGACTGAGCTTGGCTGTAACAATCGTAGGCTCTATCCTTCCAAAGTCAACGTGTTTACCGTGTCGCTCCTAAGTTGACCTGGTTGACCATCTAGCTCCGAGAATTGACCTGCAGAATAATCACTAAAAACAACTAAAATACATTACTGGCTCGAGACGCGTCAGACGCTGTCCTAAGGAATTATTTTCGGCGTACGGAAATTTCCCCCAAGATATAACGAGCCCTTCGGTTATAAAACCGGTACCAGAACTAACGAGAAGAAAACAATATATGAACCCAGTAATAAAATTAAAGTGTAATTCATGGTATATTTCCAGTAGCTAAAATGTACACTTTCTCAAGTAATTGTTCCACCCCAAAAGCCATACATACGACATAACTATAGCTAATACTTATAATGTATATGTACTTCGTATGGTTCATCTTTCACTGGTACTTTTCAATCATACGTATAGTTACCAAAGAAATCTCACATTGAAATATCCAGGCACGCATGGGTTTTATAGTCTGATCTTCAACCAAGAGATAATAATTGCTCCATAATAAAGGAGATCAAATAATAATAATAATTGACAACGTATGAAACATGCATGCTGAAAAATGCATAGGGCCTCTGTAAGTACCGGGGACAGAGCCCCACTCTCTATCTGTCAGATTGTGATTATAGTCCAATTTACATCCTCCCATCGTGCCGTCCGGTCGGTGTTGGGGGGCCCTCGGGGATGGGGTGTCATCCTTTTTTGACAACGTATGAAACTTCCCAAAGTGATTGAATAGTCATAGTAAATGATTAACATTATCATTTGGACATGTTCAAAGAACAATCATTAATTAATATTTATCATAACGTATGAGAATATGTAATTTGTAGAATTGATTACAATAATAATATCATATAAGAGAGGATAAAAGGTCTTTAAAGTTTTCAAAACTTTTCTCATAAAAAAATGTAATATGTTATTCATTTGAAATACAATTATATTTCCAACAATCCCCCACATATTTCAAATGAATAATTTTTATGTGTTTAAAAATAGTAATTCCTTACTGGGTTTCATATATGGGGTGAGGTTTTTCAATCTGGTGTTCGTAGACTTGAACCAGACCTAGACGCCTAAGTCTTTAAATACCGAGTTTGTGAAACGTATAGTTTCTATGAACCAATAATCTACTTTGGTAAGCCAGTGTCTTAGTGGATCATTTTTCATCCCCACCTTTCTCGTCGTTAACGCCGTTGTGCGCCTCTAGGCCATGCGCGTGCTTGGTTTTCTTGAGTGCTCTAGATGCATTGTCAATGCTTCATAGAGGCGGCCCCACCTCACACTCATATAGGTGACCTCATCAAGTGTGTCCTGCACTTAACACACCACCCATATGGGATATGACAATCATTAAGAGCTTTAGCTCAACCTCACAAAAAAATGCAGTCTAGCCCTTCCACACCATAGAAATGGACATTTTACCAGGCTAGCAGAACAAACAGAAGACTTGTTATTACCCATATGAACTTGCTTCATTGGATCTCCAATCACACAAGTTGGGTTCCCATCCCTATTTGTTGTCAAAGTGACATTAGTCCATTTCCCTCGATGTTTAAATTAATCATTTAACGTCCTAGGGATTCTGTCAAAGGAGTAGCTAATTCCTTCTAACTTCACAAAATTAATGGAGATATTCCATTCCAAAGTCATTTAGACAGTTTATATTTCTCAAGCATCATTGCACCATTTTTTCATGGTGAATGGATATCCACTATTTTATATTATCTCATGTGAGTCGACTCAGATGTCGTCGTCGTATCCCGGCAATACAACGGATAACTCTTAATAAGAAATTTCATCGATGTGACCCTCTGGTACATCGGATAATTCTCAATAAAATATATACCGTCATTGTAATATTATAGTATGATTGGTA